ATGCTGGGAACAATTGAGGGCAAAGAAGTAGGGGACGGCAGAGGGTGAGGTGGCTGGATGGAGTCACTGAAGCAGTTGGTGTGAGCTTAAGTGGACTCCGGGGGATGGTGGAAGAGAGGAAGGCCTGGAGGAATGTTGTCCATGGGGTCGCAATGGGTTGGACACGACTTCGCAACTAACAACAACAACAACAACAAAGCAAAGAATGTCAAAAGCAACAAAAAGGACTTACACCTTCATGTAAATAGGAAGGGGAGACAGGTGATAGGACCAGTTAAGTGGGGTGGTATCTGGTAACTGGGAAGAGGCAAAGATGTTAAATGATTACTTTGCTTCTGTGTTCTTCCCAGAGTAGGTTGGAGGAGATCTACCTGGGGGGCTAGATAAGGTTGGGGTTATGGGGATACAGATTAGAGTCACCTTGCTAGAAGTTGAGTTGCTCCTCAGGGCTCTGGATGTTATAAATGCACCGGGCCCTGATGCAATACACCTGAGAATTTTGGGAATTGGCAGGGATACTCTGCCATCCATTTGCCTACATTTTTGAGGCCTGATAGAAAATGGGAGATGTTCCAGAGGAGTGGAAGGTGGAGTCAGTGGTTCCAATCCTCAAAAAGGGTGGCAGAGGGGATATGGGAAATTACATATTGATTAGCCTTATGTCCATTCTGGGAAAGACAATGGGAAGGCTCATAAGAAAGAAAGCTCTAGAAACTCTAGATAGGGAAGGGAGGTTGGCAACCATGCAGCACAGATTCCATAAAAACAGATCCTGTCAGATGAACCTTGTGGAATTCTATGATAAGGTCTCAAGGTGGCTGGACACAGGGGAGACAGTGGATATGGTTTACCTGGATCTCAGCAAGGCCTTTGACAAAGTGCAGCATGATATTCTGGTTGAGAAAATGTTGAGCTTTGGGATAGATTGATGCACTGTTTGATGGATTAGAGCACAGAAGGTGACTATCAGTGGGGGATCATCAGGATGGCAGCTATTACCAGTCTCAATTCTGGGACTGATTCTGTTCAATCTTTTCATCAATGACCTGGAGGAGGAGTTTAGTCTGCTGACTAAATTCATGGATGATACCAAACTGGGGGCAGTGGCCACAACTGAGAAGTAGGTGATCCAGATCCATGGCTATGGAAGAAAACAAAGTTTACTTTATGTGCCCGGAGGACTGGGGCGGGGGGTGGAATTGCCCCCAAATTTCATTTGTTGTTGAAACTGTCTCCTCCTTTCTTTTACAACTTGTTCATTTTATTACTGTGAATCATAGACAATACTTGGCTCAGTATAAAAGAGCTTCATACGTGCCACTCTACATGAATTGTGGCTCAAAACTAACACACATGATACCTGTGAAATCTGTTGGAAGAAGAAAGCACATTACAGCTGCATTCATTTGGAGCCTCGGAGGGTCTTGGTGCTGACCTTGTCCTGTCACCTTCACATGAGAGCAGCTAACCCTGTGCTGAACTGAACGAACTAGTTGCATGATGCAAGCCTTCTCAGAACCAAAAGCTTATGCATAGTGGTGGCTGCCTATGCTCGTCACTGTATGACACTTTGTTCTGCTCTTCTTGACAGACATGCAGGCTGACCATTCATGTCTGCTGGTGTAATATTTGTTAGATTTATAGCTCACTTTTTTTTTTTGCAATGAATTCAAAGTGCCTGACATCATTTCCCTCTTGCTGCTCTCAGTCTTATCCCCACAACAACAACCCTGTGAGGTTGGTTGGGCTGAGTGTCTGTGCCTGGCCCAAAATACCCAGTTGGCTCCATGGCCAAGTGGGCACTAGAACCCAGATTGCCTTTCCCAGTCTCAGGTTCTTAACCATTACACCATACTGGCTCTCAGTGTGGGAAGGTTATTCTGTTGCACCTTTGCACTGAGTGGGATTAGATCGTTCAATCAGGCCAGGTGCAGAGATGTGGGAGAATTTCCTAGTTTCAAAGAAGGCCACTGTTGGATCCCTGCAGGAGTCCCTGCTCCAGGATGGCCACATAAAAACACAGGAAGCTGCCGCATACCAAGTCAGCCCATTGGTTCAGCTCGCTTGGCATTGTCAGCACGGAGAGGCAGCCAGCTCTCCAGGCCGCAGGCCTTTCCCAGGAAATCCCAGGGTACTGATATACTTTCAGCTGTGGGCTGAACTCTATTTTAGAGCATTTCTCAGGGACCAAATTCCACTTGTGGGTGGGACCAATGGCAAAGAGATGGGGCCAAAAATGCCATCACTGGTTTGCTTAAACCTAAAGTTATTGCTGGCAACTCTGCCCAAGGAAAATGGTTGCTCATCATAACTTTTTAGAATACAGAACTGCACAAAAGTCAGGAAACCAGCAAGTTTCAGTGGGTGGCAGGGTCATCCAGGGACCACAGGAGGGCTGGACTTGGAACCCAGAAGAAGCAGATTTACTCCCTGCTCCAGACTGATGTGCTACATTTCCCAGAGATACAGCTTTTCTCAGTTCCAGCCAGGGCTATGTTCAGAATAATGACTCAGGAACATAAGGCACTGGGCTTTTTTCCACATTTCAAATCTAACCATTTTCTGATGTAAGGATTAAATGATGAAGTGTGCTGCTTATAATTTGGGCAGGGTGGAGGAAGGAGAGTCGTGACTTTGGCAAACACTGTCTAGCTTAAAGGAAGGTTTTTTTTTGTACATCTTTGCTCCTCCTCTCTGAGAATTCAAGACTACTTTTCCAGGGCTGCCAAGACTCCAGGAGCTGGGAGGATACACCTGTTAAGTCCCCTTATCCTACAGCTGAAGCCTGCAGGACTCACTTCTTTCCTCACTCTTGTGTCTGTGTGCAAAGGAGGAGAAAAACAAGATACTGTTGGAAGGGATGGGGAAAGCTGGATGGCGGAGGTGGAGGAAGTAGCATACAGGGGAAAACGCCATAGAGAAGCAAAGCAAATTAAGTCGTGCTCTGATCTGCTTGTGTTTCTGCCTGGCCAAAATGCTCCCTGCATCTTAATTTGATGTAGTATTCAACACACACATGCACATCTCCGAATGCTCCCTGAGATCAGCCCAGTTAAAACAAGCAAGGAAGGAAGCAAAATACAAGCACACTTTCTCCATTCTTTCTGCCTGTCTCCCAGTCTCGCTTGTGCAGCCGTGCATCCCTGCGAACCCTGATTTTAAAAGATGCAGGGATTTCCCCTTCCACACTTTGGGCACCTGTGCTTTCATCTTCCCCCGTTTCATTTTTTTTTTCAATTTCCAAAACAATCCATTTTTCACCCAGACTTGTATTTTTCCAGAGTTGTTTCTTTGCCAGCTCTTCGTTTTTCTAGAAACGTGTCCCGCCACTCCCAGTCTGATTTCTTTCATTTGGAGCTTGGTGATCCGACTATAAAAGCGAAGAAAGACATTACATCTACCCACGTTTATACGTGTAAAACGCAGGAACGAAAACGCAGGAGAAATGGAACGGCTCCCCCGCACCTAGTTTCTCCTTTGGAAATTCTTATTGGTTTGTATCCACTGCAAATTCTTTTCTAGATAGCAGAGATAAAGGACCCCCCCCCTCTTTCTTTCTCTCTCTGTGTGTGTGCAGAGTAAATGGAAACGGCCCCTCCCACGTCTCCCCCCCCCCCCCGGCAGCCCATCGAGTTGTAATCCCAACTAGAACTTTTTTAAAACCCCTCTTCACGTATACTCGATGGGCACGTATACTCAGAAGTAAGTCCAACTGTCATCAAAGAACTTGATTTGCCGCTCCGGCATCCAGGCACATCTAGGCTTGCCGGCTACACATACACACACATACGCACGTGGCACAGAATTCTCCTGCGCGTGTTATCTCCGAAGAAAAAGGACCACCCAGCCCAGTGGAGTGGCAGACTCTCGAGTAAAGAGCGCAGGCAAGCTCGCAGCTTACACCGAAGCATAAAAAAGAAGAAAGAAACCGCCGCCGCCTTGAACTCCGGGGGTGGAGCTGGAGCGGAGTTCCGAGTCCACTTGCCCCTGCACGGACCGGCACCCTCGTTTCCCTCCGGCTCGCCGGCGCTATCATGAGCAACATTCTCAGTCTTATTTGCGACCTCGTGGAGCAGGAGGGCAGATTCCCCACCTCTTAAGGAAAGCGTGAAAACTGAGCTTCGCCTCTCGCGCAACGCGGAGGGGTTTCCCTTGCAGACCGAGCGGAGAGGGAGAATCGGAAGAATCAGAGGAGCAACAACAGCTGTATCGTTGCAGGCATCTTCCGTAGCGTTGCTGTGTGTGGGGAACTTTAGGAAGAAGAGGCGCCAGAGGAAGGGAGCTCCCTCTTCTCGTGGCCCTCTCTGCGCTCCTTCCGCGTGGTGTTTTTTCTGCAGGTGTTTCAATTTTAATTCTGCCCAGTAGGTGGGACTTGCTGACTTTAAGCTCCATCATATTCTCCATCTCGCTCGCTCGCGCCCCCCCTCCAACGCCGCCTTCCCTCTTCCTCTGCTGCTGCTTCTCCATCTTCCATTGCAAATCTTCACAAGTCTGGGGAAGAGCAGCGAGCGAGCGAGCGACCTACGGTGGATCAACAAGGCACCAGGAAGCGCGCGCGCGCGCGCGCGCGCACACACACACACACGGGCACACACACACAGACAGACAGGCAGCGAGGAGCGCGCGCGCGCGCGCGCACAAACACACACACACACACGGGCACAGACCCCCGACTGCTATGCATCGCGTACTGCTACTGTAAGACGGGATTACCTCCTCTCCGGCTCGCAATATGATTTCCACGACGGAAGGGATTTTGGTCGATCCGGTCGCTTGAGGGTGGTTGGTGTTTGTTTTGGGTCGTTTCCCCACCCCCTCCCTTCAAACCTCTCTCCTCCCCCCCTTCTCTCGGTTTCCTTCCCCCCCGTCTCTCCCCCCTCCCTTCCGCAACCTTTCCTCCTCCTCTTCTCTCTCGCTCTGTATTTTTTGTTTTCTTTTGTTTTTGCTCCACATAGTTTTTTTAAATACATATTTTTCAATCAAGTCACAGCCAACCGAAGATGGATGTCTCGTTTTGTCCGACCAAATGTAGTTTTTGGAAGGTTTTCTGGCTCTGGAGCGTGTGGGGGGACTACTTGGTTTCCGTCTTGGGTTGCCCTGCCAACTGTCTTTGCAGTAAAACCGAGATCAACTGCAACCGCGAGGACGACGGCAACCTCTTCCCCCTTCTGGAAGGACAAGATTCGGGCACAACCAACGGGAACACCAGCATTAACATCACGGACATCTCTAGGAATATCACTTCTATGTGAGTCTTCCTCGCCCTTCCGCTTTCTGCCCCCCGCCCCCGTTGCCCCCTCCCCAGCTCCGTGTGCGCGCACATGCATTGAATGTATGAAAAGAAGGGTGGGAAGAGAAGTGTGGATCGAACCAGTGCTTGTGATGTCTGAGATACCCACTGCATAGATCGCGTTGGGTGTGTGCGTGCGTGTGTGTGTGTCTGTGCGCGCGCGTGTGTTAGGGGTTGCATGAGATCGGGACATATGCATTTCACAGAATGCAGATCTCACCCTGCTACTGCTTTTTTCTGTGCTGTCTTTTTTTTTTTTTTTTCAAATAAAATGTGCAAGTAGGCGGAGGGAGGGAGGGAGGGAGGGGAGGAGGAGGAGGGGGGGACATCAAAATCCCCCCTCCCTCTGTTGAAAAAGCAACAGTTTGGATACGGCTTTAAATGGCTCTGAAGTCAGTGGTTTGCTAGGGACGATGTGGAGTGGTGGCAGTGGTGCTGGATGTCCCTGGAGAGAGAGAGGGAGAGAGAGAGAGAGTGTGTGTGTGTGGGGTTTGGAGTGTCTGAAAGATCAAGCAGAAAGATACCTTCCATCTCCTCACTCACTGTGTCCAGAGAAGAATCGTCGATGCCTCTCTTTAGGAGACTTGCCATGATAATAGGAAGGAATTTCTCCCCTCTTCTCAGATCCTTTCAATGTCCTTGTTCGTTTTCTTTTTTCTTTTCTTCTTTAAAAGGAAATATTTATCCTATGTATGTGGGGGTTTAACTATCTATCCATTTATTTATTAATCATCTGTCTGTCTGTCCTTTGGAAATAGGACAAGGAAAGATGTCCCTTAAGTAGTTTATGCAGGATCAAATTGTGTTACACATACCCTTTCTGGTTCCAAACAAGGGCGGTAATGCCAAACTGCTTTCCAGAATCCCCCCTTTTTTTGCAGTGACTGTTTTGATCTCAGAGTAGCTGGGGTGCGGGTTGTTGAGATATTTTTAGTGGAGTGTCTCTTTCCCTTTTTTTTCTTTCTTTTTTAAATGCGTGTTTTCTTGTTTATCTAGAAAATCAAGTCCAAGTTGCTTTACCCTTGTTAGAAGATCTCGATGGCTAAGCCCCATGCAAAATCCTATCGACCAGATAAGGAAAGTGTGAAGACAGACCACCCTCCTCCTCCTTATTGCAAATTACATCCATTTAGATTTTAAATCTGTGCATGTCGCACACTGAAAGCCTTGTCTTTGGTCTCTGCATTGTGTTAATTCAAATAAAGCAATATATTTGGGTGAGGTGGAAACTATAAGCCACTTCATTAGCATGGCAGTAAATTAAATAGGGGTACTGATGGGGCTGTGTAATGCCCCCACAGTAAGTCACCTGTAGAAATCTAAAGGGGGTGGGGTGGAGTGGGGTGAGAGACATGTATTTTTTTAATGGCAGTCACATGCAGGAAGGCCAGGGCTGTGTAATGGGGAAGGGGTTTGTTGTAAATTAATATCTCAGTAGCACAAAGACACTTCATGGAAGCAGGAGGGGGGCAAAGAACAGAGCTAGGATCATTTAGGATATTTCTCTTGCTCTTCCCCTCCCTCTTCTAAAGGGTGTGCTGGTCAAACTGTGTGCGGCTTTACCAGTAATGTCTCAAGCACTCATTTGGTAAGCTTCTCTTTTCACTTCACAGTAATGATAGCTTTTTTGTACACTGTAGCTGGTGGCTTGCTTTTCTGTGTATTTTTTTAATGCCATCGAGAATGGCTCTGCATGTCCCTGCAGCTCTGCAAAAAGTCCACAGAAGTTGCTAGACCACAGAGGCATGGTTGGCTCATGGAAGAAAAACAGAAAAGAGATGACTGGCAAGTCAGTCCAGAAAACTGTCCTTGCTTGGTTGCTTGGAGGTGATTGCAGCTCACCAGGGGTGACCAGGCAAGTAACCGCATCGAAGCCCCACAACACTCCTAAAAAATTCTTTTTACCATTATCTTATTCCTTGCCAAGCTATGCCTTATTGCCCATTTTCATTCTCCTATTTGCAAATGTTTTCCCAAAAAGCCAGAGGAACTACGGCTGGACAGAATGTCAATGTTCTTTTCCCAGATGTACCCTCTGATTCCACAGTACAGCGAGGCTTCCAGGGCACAGTAGTATTAGTTTGTGAAAGCTCCATTTGTCTCCAGTCTGGTGGTGTTTGGCCTTCTAACCTTGGGGGCATACTTTGAAGGTTGGGGTGCAAGCAGGATTCTTCTCTGCCTCCACCAGGCACTGTCTGTAAATGAAGCACCTTCTCAGTGGACCAGCCTTTCTAGCAGGTTGTTACATGTATATTTAAGCCAGTGTGTCTATATCATAATCTGAACTGCTGGGGGAGATATGATAATGTGAATCTTTTGTATCCAGAAAATAACTTGACTGCTTTGGAAATGCTGACCAAGCTGCTAGTAAAGTAGATGGAGGAATCTTCTGCATCTCCAGAGCAAGTGAACACAGGTGTGTGTGTGTGTGTGTGTGTTTCAAGACAGCATCTTTTTCTTCTTTTCATTTTGGTTTTATTTAATAATTAGGAAATTCTACTTCAGGTTCAATGGAGGATTGAGTATATTCATAATCTAAACTTCACCCTTTCCCTAAAGCTAAAGGAAACATGCAATGTGGATGCTCTGCAGACTAGCAGCTATTTCAGAACAATGTTTTTTGTATTTGGAGGGGAACATGCCAAAGGAACAGGCTGAATTGTTGTTTTTACATGGTGAGTGAACTGGAGGCCAGTTATTTGACTGTTTTTAAATATATGGAGGAAGAGTAAGATCATTAGACTATATAGAGGGTCATCAGGCATTAAAACTAATGGAACTTCCACCAACAGAAGCAGGCTACTCAGAACTGGATCCTGGGAACAAGTAACTTAGGAAGGCTGATTCCCTGTTTGTGGGTTTCCTTGTGGTTTGTGATTGTGCTCAGCTAGAAGTAGGATATGGTAAGGGATGGATCCTCATCTGGTCCAGAAAGGTTCATCTTATGGTGCAGGAATATTTTTGGTGACTAACTGGGGTTGCAGGTTTAAACACTGATGAACAACATTTAGCAAAATTATGGCAGATCAGTGAGTTCAGCAGAGAGAAGACAAAAGATTGCCCCCTCCCCTCCTCAGTTCTGTACTTCACCCCCTTAAAGAGATGGGGGCCTTTCTTAATGAACAGGTGCAGCCCCCATGGGCTGGGGAACAGCAAGAACTTCCCTTTCAGGGCTTCTGGAAAAAATGGGGAAAACAGCACTGAATGCTCCAGATTGCTATTAGGCTAACTGGCTTATGGTGGCAGAAGAGGGCCTCTGTTTCAGAATGATCAGGCCTTTTAATGGCATTAAGAATGCTGCTTGGAGGAGGCTCTTTGATGCAGAGTGAGAAATTGTCATGGTTGGAGACAGCATTGGCCTCAGGAGTTTTCCCATGGGATATGGCACATCCAAATGATGCCCACCCCACTCCAAAGCACACCTAAGCAGCTTCATCATTTTCACATGTATGCTGTTTTCCCACAAACTGTACACAAAGCTTCTCACAGCACCACAGCAGGACACCGTGGCCCAAGAAATGTGTATCAAGACATGAAAAGTAATAATACATTGTTACAGTAAGATTAACCCAAATTGTTCACACTACTGCATCATTTCCAATTCCTTAACAAACTGAGAAATATCAAAGAATAAACCATAATAACATTTTTAGGGTGGCCAGGTGTCCACTTTTGCAGAAGACAGTCCAATCTTTGAAGGGATGCCAGAGGAGTGTCCTTCATTTTGAAAGATTCCTCTATTTAAAGAACTGTCTGGAAGTCCACTGTAAAGTCAAAGAACCATCCAAAGGAAAATCTGGGCCTTGAAAGTTGCCCATCAGCAGCATCTGGATAGCAGAAAGAGCAAGCATATGGATCACCTGGACACAGTCTTCCCCAGAATGGTGTATTCTTATAAATTATAGGAATAATGCATATGTACATATAAATTAGCATGGCTATATTTTATGGGTACCAGTGCCCTTTTGTTCTTTTTGTTGACGTGTAGTCTCTTCTTTGTTGATTCACACATGGCCACCTCAATTATTTATCAGGAGATCATAAGCCATGTCCACATGCATCAGCCCTTTCCAGTGTATTGTGATATTAACCAATAGTGCAATCCGCAGTCAGCTCCCCTTGATGTACCAAATACAGGAAATAGCAACTATGCTTCCTGCAGCCTGAAACAGTTGTTCTATCCCATGCTTCTCATTCTGGCACTTCAAGTGAATTAGAATGTTAGGAGAATGTTTGCTGTCTTCTGAAGGGCTTAAAGTGGCTGGAAGCATGGTAGGCATGTCATGAGCAAAACCGGCTTGTGCTGGGGGTCAGACTAGATGGCCCGAGACACTTCTTCTGACTCACTCTGTTTCTGTGTTTCTATGAAACCAGTTTAGATCTGACAATCTTTAAAAACAAACCAGTCAACCTCTAGAGAAGGAGGCAGGAAAACTGCCATCCTCCTGGGTTCACCCTTCCAAAGTACCTTGCTTCACAAAGCTGTAGGCAGGGGAAGTCTTGCCAGGTTGGATAGCTGTAGGTGGAATGGCTATAGCTCAGTGGTAGGTCCCAGGTTAGTTCACTGGGATCTCCAGGGAAAGGCTTCTGTTGAAAACCCTGGAAAGCCACTGCATTGTCAATACTGGGTGACAGTACTCTGTGGCCCTAGATGTAGAGATCTCTCTTATAAATGCAGTGAAGTGTGCAGGCCAGAGTCTGTTTGCCAGCTGAGTCCTCAGGTTTTGCTGTTGCTGTTGTTCCATACTGTAGCAGCAGCCATGGTAAAAGAGTAATATTTTCTGCTGTGATTGTGCTATGACTTCTTCCTCTTCACCTCCAGTCTTGGTTAGTACATGCATGGTGATTTTGGTGGTAATTTAAATACATCCACATTTATTTTGGGAGCACAATGTTCTCTAGCCTTTGTTGGGAGGATCTAAGAGGAAATTGAAAGGGATATAAGTAGAAACTGTTTG